ATATTCTATATATCCTATATTTATAAGTCTAAAGTTTCATATCTAATTATCATAACCAAGGTAAATTATAAGTATCTAGTCTTCAACTACATCAAAGACCTCAGAAGGATATACTTTTACCTAAGTAAACAGGAAGAACATTGTAAGCAACTTCCAAAGTCTAGAATGACAGAGACAGATGGCTACCTGGACAGTTACCCAAAGTTCTTCTGCAATGTTGGGGCATCCATTCTTCAGCCTACAGGCATAGAGTCTCTCTGTCACTTCTCTCTGTGTCCTGTAGAGTGTCTAGCAGTTTCTTCTGTGAAGCAGGAACCTAAAGGACCATCTCACCTTGCAAAGTTCAGTGGTTACCTTCCTATAGTCCTGAATGTCCATTTTATACAACATTTTGTCAAGCAGTCCAGGCAACAACAGTTTCTTGCCCAAATGGTTATTTTTGCCAAGAAGAAGATAAAGTCCATATGAAGTGTCTTCAACGCCCATCTTGCTCTTTGAAGTAAATCGGTGCTGCCAGGAGCAGATGTGTCTCACTGTCCAGAAAGTCTAAGTTGTTAAAACATTTTAAATGCCATATTCTGTAGGTCTTGAAAGTGTTTGAAGATTACCTACCTAATTAAAATATTTCTATGTATACCTAGAAAACTTAACTAATGTGACTGTTTGATTATTGTAGATGATTTGTATCAATAAACTAAAATCTATAGCAGTTTAAAACAAGTTTCCCTTTACAGCCTTTTATAAAATAGTGATTGAAAGTTTTGATGGGTGTAGCAGTCTGGGCTGGCATCGGTGGTCTCATAAAGAGTCTGCAGCACATCTCTCCAGGCCCTTCTGGTGTTTAGTCTCCATTGAGAAGTCAGGTGTAATTCTAATTTATATGTTACTTGGTCTTTCTCATTGTAGCTTTTAATATTCTTTTTTTGCTCTGTACATTTACTATTTTGATTATTATGTGCTGAGGGGGCTTTATTTTCTGGTCCAGTCTTCTCTGTATAATTCTTGTACCCTGATAGGCACCTCCTTTGGGTCAGGGAAATTTTCTAAGATTCTGTTGAAAATATTTCCTGTGCCTTTGGCCCATCTTGCTTCTCCTTCCTCTGTTCCTATTATTCTTGGATTTGGTCTTTTCATAGTGTCTCTGATTTCCTGGATTTTTTGAGCCAGGAGTTTTTAGATTTAGCACTTGTGGAATGATTTATCTATTTTTTTTCTATGGTGTCTTCAGCACCCAAGATTCTCTCTTCCATCTCCTAGTATCCTGTAGGTGAAGTTGCCTGTGGTTCCTGTTGAAGTTCCTAAATTTTTCACTTCCAGATTCCCCTTCATTTGGGTTTCTCTTACTGATGCTATTTCCACTTTCATATCTCAAGCTGTTTTATTAATCTCTTTCCACAAGGAGAGTCCACAGCAGGTGTGCTACAGAGCCAGGGAAGAGACTGGGGTATTGGACTTGGAGGAAGTGAGAGAGAAGTGAACATCTGCAGTTAGCCTACCTGCTTCCCCAGCAGGTGTGTTTCAAGGGAGTACCTGCTGGAGTTAGAGGAAGATCCATGAAATCCACTGGAGGTGGGAACAGGTGGGAAAGGGAGGCTGCAGCAGGTGTTCTGCTGTAGAGCTGGGGATTAAACTGGAGAGTGGATTTGGAGGAACAGAGGGAGAGGTAAAAATCTGCAGTTAGCCTACCTGCTTCCCTGGCCAGAGTGCCAGAAAGCTCTTTTCAACAGGCATCCCACCTTGGTAGCTGTATAAAGCACAGCAATATTTGCAGAGGGGCCTGTATTATCTTCTTTTCACCTTCACTAAACACCTCAAGTCGCATTTTCTCCTTGTCTCTTTTACAAACCAGAAATAATAGGCACTGACTAGGTATGCATTTTCAATACTTGATAATATAACTTGGATAAAGGAAACTGTAGTTTAAATCACCGGGGTTCAACACACTATGGATTTCTATGAAGGTCAAACATCTTTTGTTCTTTCCCTTCCAGGTCAGTGGCCACAAACAGGTGAGCTCAGTATGCTGCACCAACAGTGGAGAGGCTGCAAGGTGGAGGCAATCTACCACACTGTCAGAGACTGGGACCAATTTGGTACCAACTGCTGTGCAAATCTGCTGGTCAGGAATATCACAAGCTGTTAAGTAATGACAGACACATTGGCTGAGATGAAGTTTCCAGAGAGGAAGTAACAGTGCAATGTGGATATTTATGGCCATAAAATAGGAAAAGCTTTAGTTCTGAGACTGAACTTGGCTCTGCTGGAGACATTTCATCAAGGCATCCTCACAACAAAGAAGATGCGAGATGGTTCCATTTCACATCAGCAGATGTCTGGACAAAATCATCAATTTGAACAAGAGCCAAGTACAGTTGTGTCTATCTTGATTAAATTGCTTCATATTAAAAAGAAGTTCTGGCTAGTATTGTTTCCAAAAGGACTTATCTAGGTTTCCTTCAATTAGCCCTCCTCCTGTAGAACCATTTTTTAAAAAGTCAGTTTTCACTGGGGATGGGAGAGCTGCAATAAATTGAAACTTTCTTTTGCTTTCAAATTGTTCTATTTAGTGATTTTTTTAACTATGCAGTTAAATGACTCTAGCATTATGCTAATGACATGATTTTTTTGTGCCAAGCAGATTTTGGGAAATGGCTCAATTGCATGAATTCAATAAAGGTAGCCTATATAAAAGAAATATAAGAACCATGAAGGAAACTGTATATAGGGTTTGCTGTGGAATGTCATTCTGTATGTGGTGAATGTGTTATTCTGATTGGTTGATGAATAAAATGCTGATTGGCCAGTAGCCAGGCAGGAAGTATAGGCAGGATAAGCAGACAAGGAGAATTCTGGGAAGAGGAAGGCTGAGTCAGGAGACGCCAGCCTGCTATCCAGGGAGCAGCATGTAATGGCACAGAGGTAAAGCCACAGAACATGTGGCAACATATAGATTAACAGAAATGGGCTGAGTTTAAGTGTAAGAGCTAGTCAGTCATAAGCCTGAGCTAATGGCCCAGCAGTTTTAATTAATATAAGCCTCTGTGTGTTTACTTGGATCTGAGCGGCTGCAGACTGGGTGGGACACAGGAAAACTCCAGCTACAAGGGTTCAAGAATTTTCTTTTTAAATTGTATTTTACCTGCATGGGTGTTTTGTCTGCATGTATGTCTGTGTACCATGTACATGCCTGGTTCCCATGAAGGCCAGAAGAGGGAATTAGATCCCCTGGAACAGGAGTTACAGATGGTTGTAAACTGACATATGAATGCTGAGAATCAAATCCCAGTCCTCTGGAAGAGAAGCCAATTCTCTATATGCCACTTGGATTCAAGAATTTTAGCAGTCATTCTGTAAGAAACTATTAAATTACAATGTCAAGTTTACATCCTTCAGTCTCACAGATTCATGTTGTCAACTCCTGGTGATGCATTCTTTAAGGTTCTGCACCCAAAGCCTGTGAGACTCTTAGGGGCAGGAGGAATCCCAGGATGAGGCCAAGTTTAAACTGTTTAACTCTAAAAGTCTCAAAAAGATGTTACCATGGGTTTCACAGACCCCAGTGTCAACCTGTCTGTGCAGCTGAAGCTGGTCTCAACCTTGCACCTGCCTACTAAGTGTTGGGTTTCAGGTGTATACTAGTATATCCAAATTACACCCTATTCTCTTTTCCCCTAAAGCTTTATGTGTATGTATGTTTGCCTATATTTGATTATGTGTAGTACATCCATGAAGTACTAACAGAAGCCAGAAGAGGGCACTGAATCCCCTGGATCTGGTTATAAGCTGGCCTATGTAGGTTCTGGGAACTGATTCCTGATCTTCTGCAAGAGTAGTAAGTATTCTTAACCACTGAGCCCCCATGATACCCTATTCCAAAGCTAAATATTTAAAAGTACCTAAATTAGGGATTGGCAAGCGTTTTCTAAGTAAAAGGTCAGATAGTAAATAGTTCAGGCTATTTACTGTACTATATTCTGTGCCACAGAACCTCTATCACAACTCCTCAGCTCTGTCACTGTAGCATAAAGAAACTCCAGATAGCATGCCAAGCAATTAGTGTAATGGATGCCAATAAAACTTCATTGACAAACACAGGCTGTAGGCTGGATTTGCTCAGGGTCCAAGTATTTCTTGCCAACTATAGTTTGAATGAATTCCCCTGAAGAGAAATAGTTCTAAAAAAAAAAGAAGTAACTTCTCAGTGAGAAAAAGAAACATGCTGGAAATAAGATCACACTGTACACATAAAGGAGAGGGGACTCTGAAAATACAAAACATCATTAGCTCAGCCAGTTAATCTTTTTATTTTGAGTTTTGTAAAAAAAAAAAAAAAAAAAAAAAAAGCTTAGAGAAAAACATGTTAAATATTAGTAAAGGCCAGGAAACCACGAGGCTAGCTTTACAATAGCAATCTAAATAGCTATCTGAAGGCAAACAGTAAATAAAAGGAGAGCAAGGGAAAACACTTTTGGGTTCCTACTGCAGTTTTCCTTATTGCACATAAAGGTTGCAGATAATTCCAAGTCTTTAATATTCACAGTTAATACACATTTTGATGTCATTTTCTAGAAAATTCTCCCCAAATACACTCTGTCAGCTCTCTAGAAAAAGTTCACCAGAAAGTCCCATCATTGCATGTTAAATTCCCCCTATTTTGCTTTAAAAGTTTCTTTCCAGCTAGTCAATGAATCTTTATGGTCTTCTCATTTAATTGTCTTAGTGGGAATATGCCAAAAAAGAAGGATTTAGGTTAAAAAAAGAAAACCTAGGAGGAAACAGCCCTACTGTGAAGTTACACTTTAAATAAGTGCTTCCAGCACTATATATATCCACAGATTGAATACCCACAAAACTGAAAAGCATCCCCTGTTCCTCCAAGGCCTACAAGTAGAATCATCATAATCAGCCCTCAAACACCCTCGCAGGTACCTATCCATAAATACCAGGATGGTCACTTTCTGAAACTGCTTTCAACAGCAAACCCTCAGTGCTTCATGCTATTCACTTCTTTTTTTTTTGTGCCCTTTTAATGGTGCTCTGAGAAGATGATGGCCTGTGCTGTGTATTCTCATATCCACTTGAGGCCTTCTCAAAAAGCAGCACAACAGATAGACCCTCCTTTTACTGATCCCCAAGGCTTAAGTGTCCAAAACATGGCTGCCTATACGTTCCAAATGAGCCACAGTTATAGCATCCCCTGCTTTGGAATATAAAATGAACACAAAAACTTGAGTTTTGCTCTTTACAATTTGCCAGCACTTGGTGATAAGATGTATCTGCTAATCTGACAAATGTCTATAAAAACTGAAAGCAGGAAAAAGTTTGTTTTTACAGGTAAGGTGACTTGCTGACGTCCCACGCAACCTAAGTCAGAAGCTCATTTTCTAGTAAAAGGGGGACCTGTAGGGCCCTGCCCCCCCCCTGTTTTGGGTAACTGTTGCCTTGCTTGCTGACCTTGACCTTGATATCCTCCCTATGCTAATTCCCTGCCGGGTTCCACCCTCCTAAATGCTTAAGCGAAGTTTCTTGTCTGTGTATCCTGCATAATGGGCGTTAACAGCTTAGATGCAAGATTGTAAAACATTGGTAGCGAACTTCTGCTCTCTGGGGTTCTCCCATTGTGCTGTAAGCCTGTATTTAAGACCTCCTCCCTCCTTTAATAAATGACATTCAGCAAAAAAATAGTATGGCAAAAACAAAAACAAAAAAAAAAACTGTGGCAAAAAAAAAGTTTGTTTTTAGGTCCTGTTTTGAAAGAGTTGTCAAGGAATGCTTTTCTGGTTTGACATCTAATTGACACTCGTTCCTATGATACTTCTCTATGGATTGTTCAAACTAGGTTTTAAAAAGGGGTAGAGTCATTTTAGGTACCAAAGATGTAAAAGCAGCATCCAGATGTGTTCTTTCTAAACTAAACTCTTGGCCAGTAGAGTTTAAGAGTTAAGTCAAACTTACTGCCTCAGAACACAACAGCTGATGCTAGCAAATCAGAGTCTCACTTAAAAAACAACAGAAGAGCTCTAACTCAACACACAGGAGAGGGTCTGCCCCAACTTAAGAGTCAATATCAAAAGGCAGGTGTGAGACTCAAGTGCCCTCCCTGCAGATGACATTTTAGATGGATGGTGATGTCAGCTCTAGGCTACTTTTAGTTCTCTTAGAACTCATACTGGGAACCAGGCAGCTTACAAGAGGATGGTCTGTACCTCTGGTGAATTGCTCAACTGTTCTCTGATCTCAGTGGTGTTTCTGTACCGGGGAACCAATGGTTCACATTAAATATCTGACACAATTACGTTCACTTCCACTGGAGACAAGTCAAGGGAAAGGCTGTGGAGAATTGTGAAGCAGACATTTGTTTTGGAAGGAACTGGTCTTTGCTCTGGATGGACTTGCTCACATACAGATGAGAACTTTTTCTTTTCTTTCAAAAGAGATCTTATTTTTCTATGGAACCACAAGGCATTTGGAGGTCTAGAGGATCCAACCCAGGGTATTCCTTGCTGCTTGCTTGATGAGACATTTGATATCATAGTGTGGTTTGTTTAGCTCCAAAGCATCATGGTCACTCTAGGAAGTACCCTGGATGATTGAAGTTGATATGCCCTTTCTACGGTGTTGCTAGAAAGAAACACACAACCTTCTTTAAGGGCCAGAATTCCTTCTCTAAGAAAGCTTGGGCTTTCTAGGTAGTTCCCACAGGAGCATTATGAAAAGGAATGAGTGGGTTTTTATCTTCTATCAGAGCTGTACCAGTGCTGACATGTGACAATAGAATGACTACAACCTTCCTTGACAGTGAATAGACCTACCCTTATTCTGTTGAATAAGGTATGTGGACTAACAAGACAAAGTCTGACCACAAAAAGGGACTATTAATTTAATTCCATACTGAACTGAAAGGACAGCTTCCTAGAATCCTTTGTGTTGGATTACTCAGCAGCTCAAAGACAAAAGCTTCCTTCCCCACAAGTGGGAATAAAGATGACAAGTTTGAAATTCTTCTATGCATATACTCAAGTCACCCTCCTCTTTCCTTCAAGTCTCTTTATTTTCATATGGAAGACAACCTTGAATTCTGCAAAATGAGCACAAAAGTTTTACAGTGGCCTAATCTGCATTAGTAATCAGTTTCATTTTGTCACTAATGATTACTAAACAAACAACTCAGTAGGTCATTCCTTTAACTAAGCTTCCAAAGGGTTCCTTGTGAGCTTTATCCAAAAGGCTCAATCAACCCTTCTGCACAGGAGGAATCCTAGAAGTTTCAAAACAAATCACACATGCCAGGCCCCACTCTGAAACTGCAGAACCCAAATCTTTATGTTACTACACCTTTAATTGGCATTTTTATTTTAGTGCTTGGGAATAGAACCCTAGCCTTGGCATGCTAGGAAGTGCTCTATAGCTAAGCCAAATCCTCAACCTTGAATTTTTTAAATCAAAGACCAAAGGTAATAAGCAGTCTGAGTTCAGAATGCCTGATCTAGAATATTCCAGTCCTCAGAGCTGTCATCACCCTCAACTCAGAATGAACAGGTTTGAAAGATGACTTGGACTACTTTCTTAGACAAACCTGACCATTACTCAGCAATTCCAGTCTGGTTTCCAGATAGCTGGCTTTGAAGCAGGCAGTTTCTGGGCTTTGTGGCACCTCTACTTTTCTTCATGTAGCCTGGGCACAACACTTCAATGTGGAACCACTTCTATAGGTAGCTTCATCTTTGAGAACTCCTGAGAAGTCAGGGTGAATCTCTACATTTTGCAACCAAAGATCAGGGCCAAGTTTCAAAATAATGAAGATTATAAGATCCTTTAAGAGGAACACAACAGGATTAGGCTAAGACTAGGCTGTCAAAAAGATTAAATAGGTGATGCCACTATTGATGTTCTAGTGCTTATGAGCACTATTTTTATGCAATGAGGAGAAAAAACACCACATTATAAAAGCATCTTTTAGAAATCGGGTTACCAAAACATCCAGCATTGTAAGACATGGGAAAAAAAACTCTAAGATTTCTCTCAATACTTTACCTACTTTAAGAGTGAGTAAATTAGAATAGCTCATCAAGAAAGAATTAAATTGAAATGCTGTATTTCAAACCATGTCCATTTTAACCTGATGCAGTAGCCTCTCCACCAAGAAAACGACCTCTCTTTGCATGACACATGAATTCCTAAACTTATTCAAGAGACACATGAATTCCTAAACTTATAGAAGACAGGATTTTCTACTGGGTTATGTTCATTACTTTGCTTCTGAATCCTCATTTAGCCACTAATATTGCATGCATGCATCAGTTCAATGTCTGAAGTTCTAAGTCTTAAGACTTCTATGGAGCACAGCTGACCTCACTGATCAGAACAGGAGTCTACAGTGCAGAAGGAGCAGGCAGCCCCTTACTATTTCCTTTGCTGTCTGTGCTGCATATAGGGCTGCTGGAGAAGGTGGTATTGACTCTGCAGCTCTGGGGCCTTAATGGAGATATTTGTATGATGGCAGCTATTCTAAGACTTTCATTGCTGTAATGAGCTCCTCAGGTACCCTGACTCTGGAAACTGGATGAATGGGATAGTTCCAGGTCTGATGGCAGAAAGCAAAAGTATCTCTCAATATACCTTGGAAATAAAGATGTCTCAATCAAACTTATTCTCAACAGCAAATGTCTTTCTCACCAAGTATGCACAGAAGGGAATATTGACTAAAATGTTCTACATCTTGACCAAGAGTTGACTACTTTTAGTTTTCATTCATTATATGAAGAATCCAAGAGTAAAAAGACACAGAGAGAATTAAGTTAGTTTCTGTTTTGAACTCTCTGGGTGAGCTACTTGTACCTCACAGGAGGAACCTTTCAGCTTAGGAAAATATAGAAACACAGAATCTGAAACTGGGAAGTGCTATGGGCCATCTGCAGGCCTGCTAAGCAACTCAGGGAGCAACTAAAATCCTCCAGGAGAGAAGTCTAGACTTCAGGAGATAGGGGCTTACAATGCAAGAATAAGAATCTATTGATTGTGAGCCTAGCCTTTAACGGCTGAGCCATCTCTCCAACCCAATAAAAATGAGAAAGATGAGGTACAGAACCTACAAGCCAATGTTGCAGGCTAAGCTACTCAGTACAACCATGACATGAAAAGAAAGAGCATGAAAGTATAAAGGCCTGTTCCCCTCAACTTGTTATGAAGAAGAAGAATGAAAATCAACCACAGCCATTACAAATTCTGCAAACATGGGCTCCCAGAGAATGGGCAAAACAAAAGCCAGGAACAAAGAGGAAACTATACACCTGAATGGTTACAAATCAATCATCAGGGACAAATTCTAATGGAAAATGCTGAATTTTTTCCCCCAAAAAGGAAACAGAGAAATGGCAGATGATACAGGAACTATTACCTCAGACAGAGATCATCACACTGGGGAGCTGACCAGGGTGAGTATGTGGGGCCTTTCCTGTAAAACCTCAAGAGAGCAGCTTAAAACAACACAAGAAAGCAGTGCAGAATATTGAAGTCACATATAAAGTGTCATAACCAAGTAACACAAGATACACTGAGATTTGAATGATGAAGATGTAATCTCACGACAAGACTGAACTTTCAAGAAACTCAGTAAGCTGGAGTTACAGATTCAACAATGTAAAGAAATGACCAAAAGAACAGCATTTCCAGCAGCTGCTCACTACTGCATGTGATGCTCGTACCACTTCACCACCATGAAAAGAATTTTTAGATGAAGAAGCTTTACAGGAGCCAATCTGGGATTGGAGGAAAAGGCATCCCATAAGAAACAGCCAGTTGGTTAAAGCAACACTTTTTAAAACAGGACTGCCTTTAACCACTAGAACTCAGAAGATGTGCAGCTCTGTAGTGCCTTCTGGAGAAGTTCTGATTTGAACAATCTTGGGGCAGGTTCATTGGCCACAGCAAAGGAAGCCTCAGAATGCATCCAGAAGTTCTCCAGTTTGCCTGATGGATCTGACTAAATCTTGCCCTGCCTCACTTTCTACTTTACCCAGACATGATCCTATATGTCTGAACACAGCTAAATATACCAAACATAATTCCTGAAGAAAGTAAACCAAGTCAGGCTGGAAGAAAAGGTTCAAAAATCAGAAGTGGAGTATGGCAGCAAGACCTAGACCACAAGAAGATTGCTACAGGGGACATTCTTTGACCAACACCAACTCTCACACACAACAGATGAGTCATCTTTGATTCCTGGAGTTATCAAATTTCACAAAGGAAGGTGTGGTCAGAGGTCAGAATGCCAGTCATCTAATAGTTTTAAAAAATCTGATTTGTTTTTGTTGTTGTTGTTTTTTGTTTTGTTTTGTTTTGTTTTTGACTTCCCTGTCTTCTCTGGAAGAGCAAAAATGCTAAGTCATTTAAAGGGCTTTGGATATATTTTTTAGTAACAAAAGTTCAGATAGAAATAAAAGCATCAGAATGATTTTCGTCTTCTAGGTGCTGAAAATAGTACCAATGGGAAAGTAATTATAAATTATAAGTATTGAAGTTTTTGTCCTAAAAATAGTTGGCATTGGAATTCAGTCTTTACCTAAACATATACATTTATATAATTTATAATAAAGCAAGTTCTATATTCTATTTAGTATGATTTTGAAATTACTTCTTTTGGATGTTTTAAAATGAAATTTATGTAAAATAAAAATAAAGAGTTCTATCTTTTTTTTACAGGTTATTTTTTCACATTGAAATTTATTTCCTCTAACCATAGTCTAGGACCTCTTCCATTTCTTCCTGCCTTCTCCTCCCTAGCGAATATCCATGTTATCTCAAACCCTGTGGTAGATAAACCTCAGTCTATCAGTTACCTTCCAGGCAGTGGGCTCACATAGTAGCTTCCAAAGTCAAGTGAGTGTTCCAGTGGTATCATCATCAGTTTCTCAATACCTCCTGTCCTCAGATTAATTAAAAGAGAAGAACAGAACATGATTTGCCTTTGGTTTTAAACATTTCAGTAACTCTCTTATAGAGGCTTACAGAGAAGGAACTAGACTTCTTTCCCCATATTGAAATGCTCTTGGAAACCCCTCACACACACTGTTTGCAGTGCTGGGAATGGAACCCAGGGTCTTGTACATTGTAGGCAAGTACTCTAGCACTCTGCCACTGAGCTAATGCCCCAGCCTATGGACAAGCTTCCTAATCTTCAGTCTAGGAGCAACACAGATAGAACAGCTAGGACTCTGACAGGAGGATGCAATTGTGTAAGTCTTCAGAGCCAGGGGCTCTACTGTCTGGGGTAACACCAGCGTATGGTACCATCGGGATTCCGGTTTCAGTTTCCTTTCTTCACTGTCTTTTGTCTAACTTGTCATTCCAACTTGATGCTCCTTAAGCCAGCTAGATGGGCACTACAGCACAGAGTTGAAGTCCCTTATCTGCCCCACCATGGTTAGATGCTGCAGGCAGATGAAGTGAGAAACCATTAAAAGCATGCTATTATTTTGCTTAACTCTGAAACAGCGGACTACTATATGAAAAAGTGGGAATAGGTCTGCCTTTGTCTTAATTTAGAGACACTTTAGCTTCACCATCTGAGTCTTGGGTCAAGTGTTGGTGATGATAGTTTCAGAGCCCAATGAAACAGAAGTATTAGTTTAACCCAGTCAATGCCACACCTCAAACACACTGGGGCATTTGGCCATCCTCATCCTCATGAGAGCCTCCCTGATCCTCCAAGACTTAGGGGGAAGTCATGCATTTTCCTGCAGTGGAAACACAAGGGGGGTGCCCCGGCTGGAAACCTTCTGATCTCCCATTCCCAGGTCTCGCTCAAGCACTTCCTCAGAGCTGCTTTTTGTTCTCCGACCACCCTCAAGACTTGTAGAGGCTGTGTAGGAGCTCGAGGAGCCATTTGCAGTCACAGTGCTGTCTCCATAGGTCAAGGTGAGGTCACCCTCCGTTAGGATGAAATCAGAGTCATCTTCTCTCAGTGGCTCTTGGTTCTGAAAGGTACAACCAACAAAAGGGGAGCCTGAGATTTTCCAGGGCTGGGGCCAACCTAACCCCAAATCCTCACATCAGAAAACCAAGGATTTGGGGGCTGCAGAGACAGTGCAACAGTTAAGAGAACTTGCTGTTCTTGCAGAGGATCCAGGTCCAATCCTTAGCACCCAAATTAGGCAATTCACAACTGCCTGTGATTCCAGTTCAAGGAGATCCAAAACCCTCTTCTGGCCTTGGTAGGTACCTGAACACATTTGGTACATATACATACATATACCCAGGCACACAAATACACATATATTAAAAATAACACAAATACACATACATTAAAAAAATCTTTAAAAAAAAAAACACCTAAGGATTTTATGAAACTTGCCTGCTTACATCCTTGGTATGGTCACTGGATAGAAACTATAGTGTTTTCATACAAGGCACTGTTGCCTAAGTCAGGATTTAGAATACCAGAAGCAGATTAGATTTCAGATGCATGATAGCTCAGGGGTTAGTGTCTAAGAGAAGAAAGCAGGCTGGCTGCATTCTCAACTTCCCCATGCACATAGAAATGTTACCAGGAAGATCATGAATAAACACTTCAAATAGGCTCTGCTTCTCTCCTATCTGAGCAGGTCTTCTGGGTGGATCTGCTGCTTATTTATATATAAACAAGCCTTTCTCTTAGTTTGCAGGGGTGAGAGTAAGCCACAGTGAGGATTTCCTTCTTGTTTTCCCTCTACTGTCTCCACATCTTCAGCTGGATGAAGTGACTGATGGGGAGAATGTGCTTTATTGACCCTCTATTAAATACCTGCTGGAAAGGACACGTAAGCGCCTCCTACCATGAAGGGCATGAACACTGGGGTCACAGTAGGAAACCTATGCTGTGAGAATTCATGCAATGTGCCTAAAAGTTGTCCATCTGACAGGAAGTAGTTAGAATTTGTGTTGCCTCCAGTCTAGTTTGATCCACATAAAAAGATATGAAAAAAATCAGTGCGTCAGAAAAAGGCCCAGAATGGCATTTCACATTAGGCAATGGTTGTAGTCAAATAGGTAAGATTAAATAAAGCAGGCTTAACAAGGTCATGACTACTTGAAGCTACCAGATGGTGGGGAGAGAGTCAGGAGACAGTGTGAGTTCACATAGACATTCTCCAGTGGGTTTCACAAGCACAGCAAAGGAAACCTTGCTCCTGTCTGCACTGATGTCTGTCCAATACTATGAAGGGCTTTCTCAAATGGCAAATACAGTGTCAGGACACCCCAGATGTCTGTTCTATCATTTACCATCAGCCCTTCCAAACTCATCTGAAGTCTTATATCCTCTAGACATCAGGATATAAGGGACTCCTCTATCCATCCACCTCAAGTCATGTTGCACAAAGCTATGGATACACACACACACACACACACACACACACACACACACACACACACACACGTACGTTGGCATGTAGACCCCCCATCTCAATGATAAACCACCCAAGGGCAATGTCTCTTTCTTTTCTTCTTGCCTTCCTAAGTGGTGCTTAGTTCACACAGGCTGAGCTTCTTTAGTACAAGAATTCCAAGTTTAAATTGATCCATAGTCCAAACTTTTTGAGTACTATCTCCACCTTTCTATAGTTTTTAGTAATTGTACAAAAATAACAGGTTTTATCATGACATTATGACATGATGCCACAAGTCTCATGATTCAAATTTTGTTTCATGTATGAAATTATAAATATAAAATTAACTTTAGGCTATGTGTACAAGATATATTTGAGACATGAGTTACAGTTAGTGTGAATAATGGAGGATGAATACCTCAGAGCTCTCCAAACAAAAATATCCTAAAGATGATGAGTAGGGACCAGACAACAGGTATCAAATGGACATGACCCACCCAGTCAGCAACCCTCACCTGGAACTAACTAGAAGAAGACCCTCTACTTCTCTCAACTTTGAATTCCTCAATTAAGAATACTTTGATAATACTTATCAATTGATAATACAATGGATAAGACTTTGCTTTCACTCAACAGGAGGCCTTGCCATATCTGGAGGTAGTTGAGATGCTGGGCAGAAGAACCTCAGCCAAAATGGGCAGCATCAGCATCAAGGGTGGCTCTTGTCTTGGTAGTTCAGGACTGGATGAGTGTGTGGAGCTCGGAGCCCAAACATTGTTCCTAAAGCAAACCCTGAGTAGCCTCTTGAACTGGTGAAAGACATACTTGATTTCCGTGACTGTAAGAACCTTACTGAGTTTATATGGTCATCAGACTATTCCGAATATCCCTAATCTCTGAGAAAGGGGGCAATTAGTAAGTTTCAGATTAGAGAAGGTTTTTAAAAAGTGGCTGAAGCTTTGGGTTTAAATGCCCCATCACAGCCTTTTTTCCCTCTTTTTTCCCCCAGTGCTAGGAATGGAACCCAGGCTTTCATAACCACTAGGCAGGCATTCTTTCACTGAGCTACATCCCCAAAGGCCTATTTTTTTATAACTTGAAGTAGTCTACTCCAGGGGTCACAGAAGAAGGCTCACTTGTATAGGGGAGGAGGAGCTGGGGATGCTGAGAGGCTCAGACATCTTTAAGACAAGGAGGTGTGAATGCTGCTGTCTTCACAGTAGGTAAAAATGTGAGGAAAAGATTGAGGCAGAATTACATTCTTCCATGGCACAATCCACTCTTCCAAAGAGACAGCCCAGTTAGCTGCTTTACAAGTGCAAAATTCTGTCACCTGTGTTCATGCATGTACATTGAATGTTCATGTGGATATGTGCATATGTGCATGCACCTGCATGTGGAGACCAGAGGTTGATATTGGGTGTCTTCTTCAATTGTTCTCTACCTTATCTTTTGAGACAGGTTCTCTCACTGAACCTAGAGTTCACTTATTGATTAGGTCATCAGGCCAGTGAGTTTCATGGTTGAGGTTATAGACCTGCATCATCATGCCCAGCTTTTTATGTGAGTGCTGGGGATCCAAACTCAGTTCCTCATAATTGAATGGCAGGCTTTTACAGACGGCCTCTCTGTCACCTTTTCAATGGTCGCCTTCCTCTAAGGTGGATGAGTAAGAACCTTAGTTTCTGGTGGTCTCTCCTACTGCACAGCAGCACTGAATTTCAGATGCACGGTGACTTGGTAACTGCAATCCTTGTTCTCAAAGGAAGAATATGGCATCTAAGAACTCTGCTTTCATCTTGGGTCTTTTTTGTATGGTTGCCCTTATCTGCTATCCCAACTATGCTAGCTATGGCATACACATCCCTGTCATGTCTCCTTTCTGAATGTGTAACACATTTCCTGACCCCATGGTTGAGGGCCCTTCTCCCTCAGACCTTGGTTGGCCTTCTACTTTCTCATCATTGATGAAATCAACTGTGAATTACTGAATAATTATTTGGAGACCTGTCTTAGGGTCGTAGTTTTGTCCATTACTACTCATGGGGCCATGGACAGCCTGCATTATCCCTGCCATTATACTCTCCTCAACTATATTGCTGCAGCATTTGCGCCTTCGCAGTGTGCTGACAATGAAACAAGCCTTTGGCAGCTATGAGGCTGAACACAAACCTAAGCAGCTCTTTTCCCTCAGGGCAAAGACTATCATCTTGGGATGGTGAAAGAGAGATGAAGAAGGAGGAAGCTCTATCTTCCTTTCTACTACTTCAATTGTAGATATCTGCTTGCTCTCTCTACCTATCTGCCCTGCAGCCCACATTGGGAGCTCAAGTTCAGCCCTAAGTCTGAGACATCCATGGCAGGGGCATTCTTTTCCTAAGTGTGATGACTCCATTTCTAGCACCAGAAAATGGGAAGAGAGGACCTAACCAAACCAATAAATAAACTAATTGCAAAGGAATCCTTAACTTGGTGTGCTGCTTTGTGGTTTGTAGTATGTATTGATGAACCTTATTTAATGTTCATGCCAGCTGGCACTAATAGGCCCATAGTACAGACAAGAAAACAAGTGTAGAGTACTTCAGTAGCCTGTGAGGGCTTGAATTGCAATCTGGTCATTTGGATTCCCAACCACAGCTGCCCAACTGGGAAGCCATATAACCTTGTTAAAAGGTTTCCCTGTTACTGTGCCAAAGAGATGAACACACACACATACATATACATACATATATATACACACACACACACACACACACACACACACACACACACACACACACACAGGCCATTTCTGATCATCTTATTAGATGAGCAAAATTTATGGATCTGGAGTTTGGAGTGTGGTTTGTTTTTTTTTTTTCCTAAGGAAGAGAGTATCTGTTGAGCAGGAACACAGCACCTACATGCAGTACTTACATCATACACCTGGGGACTGGTCAGACATCGAGCTAGCAAGCCACACCAGGCTGGGAGAGTGGTGGTTAGCGGGGGACCGCTGTGGGTGAGAATGGGCTTCAAGTAACTTTAAAAGGGGAATTAAGGAAAAATGGCTGCAATGAAAACATATACAAAACAGAATGCATTTTTAAAACCCAAAGAGTAATAAGTTGTCTGACATTCTACACAAAAAGCCTCCCTGCCTCCCATTGTCTCAGTACAACACAGGTAATCCTTACAGCTATAGGAACAAAAGATGAAGATATACCTCCATGGTGTCTAAGTGCACATGGGTAACTCTCAGGGTACTGATTTCTAACAGTTTAAAAATGTTGAATTAATTCAATCAAGCACAACAGTACACACCTGGAATCCCAGCACTTGGGAGGCTGAGGCAAGAGGATAATGAATTTAACCACGACTTGGGCAACACTATGAGCTTGTCTCAAATAATAAAACCCCCAAACAAACAATCCAAACCAAGCGAACAAGCAAGCAAAAAGAACACTGGATTCATTAGAGTACATTTCTTACTTACCTAATTTAGTTCCTTTAAGGAGAAGACACTGAGGTATGCTTCTAGTTGTGAATTGTTTAACGCTTTTAAATAATGGAATAACTCTTTGTTAAAAGATAGAAACAAGGGTTCTGTTGGAGCTCTCTGCAAACAAAACAAGCTGCTGTGGAACTGCTGGCTTTAAGAACAGGCTTGGAAAAAAAAAAAAAGAACAGGCGTGGGGATGGATTTGGGCCACTACAAGGCAGTCACTTCCCTCCTGTCTTTAGCTAGGAAGGTGGCAGGAGCTTCAATCTCTACCATGTCAAGGGTCAAGCCAGAAGCTGCCTTTCTGTTCCCTGCTTTGGGCGTTTCAAAGACAAGCCCTTTTTGACTCAAGCTGAGAAGTCCTGGAACAATTTCCTTTAAAAATATCTATGCAGATGTGTATACAGTTTCTTAAAGCTGTTTATATTTTAAGTTAGTAAACAAAGTAATGTGTTTCATTGTGGCATTTTCATGCATGTATGTCATTTTACTTTGTTCTTATTTGTGCCTTTCCCCCATCCTTCCTATCCTATTTCCTAAGTGGTGTTTAGGTTCCCTACCTCCCCTAAATGGTCCCTGCTTCTGCTTTCATGTCACACATATTTTATTATTCTCTATTTAAAAAATAGCTCATTTCTTTTTTAAAATCACTTTAATCAAAACTTTATTATAAAGAGCTTGCAAATAAAAAACATCACACACTAAAATACAGTTCATCAGAATGAACTTCTGCACAGTTAGAATAGCCAAAGCTGTGGAGCCTCACACTGGATTTTATACTTTCACTAGAGAATATGCTTTTATGCATGTATCTATCATTAAAACCTGGAAAAATCCATGCAAATTAGAACCAGATCCCCTGGAGCCTGAGTGATGTGGACCATCTGTAGCTGACACTCTTCTCTCAACATGTCTCTAAATTTTTGCTAATTCTTGATGTTTATTGTCTAATTTTATTTTCCAAATCAACAATTTGGTCTTTGCTATGTACAACTATTCATTACATTTGGGGGGTGGGGTGCGGTATTTTCTGAAAAGCCTGAGGCAGGGTCTTATAAAGTCAAGGCAGGCTGGCCTTGAACTCCTGATTCTCTTGTCTCTGCTTTTCAAGTGCTGAGATTATAAGCATGCATCAGCATACCCAGCCATAAAACTAATTTTTAATTTCCAAGATTTTTTTCTTTTTTTTTTTGAACTATTTTCTAATAACTTGCCCTTGTTTCATGACTGGAAAAATCTCCCATTTCTTTCTAAAGATTCTATCAGGAAATGTTTTGGGTGTTTCTTATGGTTTTTGTTTGCTTTTTGCCTTCTAGGGCAAAGTCTCACATCCTGAAGCCCAGACTGGCCTGTAATTCATTTTGTATGCTGTGCTGGCCCGGAACTTATGTATGGGTTTATATCATCATGCCTAGCTAGAAGTTTTTCATAGTAAACATCTGCAATCGTTTAATATTTCAGCATCCCCACTCCCTCATGTATGTATCCAGTCTCTTGGTTCATCAGGTAGGATGGGGACTCCTATTATGGTATTTAAAAACAAAAACAGAGAAGGTGACTCTGGACAGAAAAATCTGTTGTCCTCAAGATCTGTTTCCCTACTAACACCCCTCTCTGTCAAGGGTTTCTACTTTCTCTAAATGTCTAAGACTGAGGAAAAACAGCTACTAATCAATCTGTTGACAAGAAGGAACTGCTACAGCTGTTCCCAACAACAGTCTTGAATAAATGAGCTAAGCAAACTGGCTAAGACTCAAGATTGCCTTTGACTCCCTTTTGTCTGCTGTAATTCCTTCCACCTTTCTTCGGCTTTTCAAGTAACCAAAAATACCTCTTTTGTGATTTCTATGACGCTTGGGAAAAGAAGGGAGAGTATGTGGACACTGAGCCTTTCATCTTAAACTGGAAGCCTGTCGGCCCCATTTTAAGGTTTATGCAGGTTCTGTAAATCAGTAGAAGTCATTCATGTTCAACTCAACTCCCTTCTTTTTTGAGATACGGTCGCATGTTGCCTAGGTTGGTGTCTGTGATTATTTGAATGAGAATGGCCCCCATAGACTCATATATTTGAATGTTTGATCCCCAGTTGGCAGAAATGTTTGGGAAGGATTAGTAAGTGTGGCCTTGTTGAAGGAGGTGTGTCATGGGGGTGGGCTTTGAGGTTTCAAAAGTCCATGTCATTCCCAGTTAGCTCTCTCTCTGCCTCATGTTTGTGGATCAGATGTAAGCTCTAAGCTACTGCTCCAGCACACTGCCTGCCTGCCTCCTCCCTGCCTGCTGCCATGCTCCCACCATGATGGTCACAGACTCTAACTAACCCTCTGATATTCCCAATAAACTCTTCTTTCTATAAGTTGACTTGGTCATGGTGTCTTATCACAGTAATAGAAAAGTAACTAAGACAGCCTCCAACTCACTATATAGCCCAGACCAGCCATAAAGTTGCTATGGAGCCTAGGCTGGTCCTGAATTTATGTTCCTTCTGCTTAAGTGCCATGGTTACAGGTGTGCACTACCATATCATGCTTGCTCAAATTCTCTTCTGATAACATCAAAACTCACTTTTAATGGATTTGTGATGATGTGGAGGTAGAATGAATCATGGATAACTTCCTTATCCAATTCTTTAGACTATGATCACTTTAGTTTCTGTTCCCTGAATTAAGAAGTAGAAATGCCAAATTCTCTAAATTTAGATTTAGATGGGACTTTGGAGCTCACCTCTGTTTCTCTTCAAAGAGTAAATGTTTGAAGAGAGTCCTCAATCCTATGAGCTGTCACAGAAATACAACTTAAAGCCATAGTAAAATATACAATAATAAAAGTTGCCGGGCAGTGGTGGTGCACGCCTTTCATCCCAGCACTTGGGAGGCAGAACCAGGCAGATCTCTGTTTGTTCGAGGCCAGCCTGGGCTACCAAGTGAGATCCAGGAAAGGTGCAAAGCTACACAGAGAAACCCTGTCTCTAAAAACAAACAAACAAAAGCAAAAAGAAAAAAGAAAAAAAGAAAAAAAAAGTCAACCATTGGCAAACATGTGGAGCAACTGGAACTTTCAAACACGTGAAATAGTATCACCACCTTGGAAAACTGCCTTCTAACACTGAACCTACACATGTCTTATACCCCAGCACTTTTTCTCCTAGGTACAGTCCCACTAGAAACATACACACAGTACATCAGACATGCATGTATAAGAATGTTCACAGAAGTTTTCTGCAAGTGGGAAATAATCTGATACTCATCAATAATAGAATGATAAATTGTGGGATAGTCATACAGTAAAATACTATGCAGCAATAAGAACAAATGAACTAGAGATAAACACTACATGGATGAATCATACAAATAAACCAGACATGAAAATAAGTATACACTGTATATATGTGTGATTTTTATGTTATATATAAAACTGAAAAAGATAAAACTGCTAGATGTTACTAAAGTTAAAAGATTTTTTTTTTAAGTGGCTGTGGCTACACTTGGGGAAGAAGAATACTGCTTTATGCCAGTTTTTTGTGTTTCTTGATAGTTTAATGTTAAATGAATGTGTTTATTTTGAGACAGGGTCTTATATAGCTCAGGCTGGCTTTGAACTCATTATGTAATCCAGGTTAAGCTTTATCTTTCAGCCCTCCTACCACCACCTCTTGAGTGTTGGGATTACAGGCATATGTTTCCATAGTTGGCTCTTAGTATGTGTATTGACTGAGAGAATTTATAATTTAGGTATGTTTCTCTTCATCTTCTATACTTCAGGAAGAGATTGCTTAACATTTTCAATGTCTTCAAAAATATTTAAAATAAACCATCTACCTATTTGATCACTACATCAATACAAAATATCACAAAGGTTTAACTGTTTTGCCTTTAATTTGACTTGACAAGAATAGGGTGTTCCCTGCATGTGGCCCTATTGTGCTAGTATAAGATTAGGTTAGATTAGTATAAGATTAGATATAATTAGCCAAATTTAACCAATAGGAATTATCCTCACCACAGGGATGGTCCAAGCTTCCCCTCCCTTCCTAACTGCAGGGCAGGTTCCTATATAATTTTAACTAGTTTACCTACAAAGGCATCATTCCCTGGACACAAAGCTTTTGAGAGCCACATGAGTCTGCCAGGTTACAGGTTATCCACTCTACTGAAATATCCATATTCCTCTTGGCTAGAGAGATGCTCACCATGACCACCTATGGCTGAAAGATCAATGCACTTGTCCCAGGAGAAGACTGAGTATACCTGTCCCATGCACACTTTTCCTTATTCATCAGGAGTGTCACCCACTGACAATTCAACAAGTGGATGTTGTCACCAATGTCTCCTGAGCCTGGGGGAAGGCAAAAGGATACTTGTGATCAAAGCTGTACCACAGCCTGAATATCCATGCACTCTCCTGCTTTGTCCGGCTTCCTCCAACAGAATCCAGGCCATCCTAGAACAAACCAGAGAAAGGGACAATGAGAGAAGGGGGAAAGGCTAGTTTTGAAACTGTACTTGTTGTGCTTTGCAGTGCTGAAGATTGAACCCAGAGCCTTGCACAAGCTGGGCAATTGCTCTCAACATGGGCTCATTCAACTACAACTTTCCCAGAGCTAGAGCTCACAGTGGAGCACGACATACTACTGCAGCTTCAAAGATGCAGCTCAGTGGTAGAGGATCTATGTAGCATGCACAGGGTATTAAGTTCAATGCCCAAAAACACACACATGGAGATATATTGAGAGGCAATATTCTAGCAGAAATCAAGCAAACACAAAAGGAAAAAAATCAATTCCCAAAGTAAAATGGTCTAGTCATGTTCATGGGTAGATGAAGCCAATATTATCATAAAATCTCTTTTGGCATTTTTAATTTCCCTCCAAGTACCTTTCAGGAGTTAATTACCTTACAGTTGTGGTGATATATTGTATACCACAATAAAGCTTGTTTGGGGATCAGAGGATAGAGCCAGCCACTAAATTAGACATAGAGGTCAGGCAGTGGTGGCACACACCTTTAATTCTGTCACTCAGAAGGCAGAGATCCATCTGCATCTCTATGAGTTCAAGGTCACACTGGGCTACATGAGAGAAACAGAACTAGGCAGTGGTGACACATGCCTTTAATCCCAGAAGTAATATGGCAGGACACAGAAAGGTATATAAGGCGTGAGGAAACAGGAACTCTCTCTCTTTAGGCTGAGGATTTCATAGAGGTAAGAACTAGTGGCTGGTTGTTCTGCTTCTCTGATTTTTCAGCTTTCACCCAAATATGTGGCTCTGGTTTGTTTGTTTGTTTTTTTATTATAAGACCTTTTAAGATTCATGTTACATACAGGGGTCTAGAGCCATACAGGCCAAAATTGTGCATGGCCAACAGTAAAGAAAGCTTGTGTAAAATGAATTTTCCAGATTTTCCCAACATTGGCCTAGATAGACGACAATGCTAAATTTCCTGGCAAACTAGTCCAAGGGCTCTTTGTGGTCCCAACCCAGGTTTCCAGGTAACAGAACTATATATCTCTCTACTAGCTTTAGGGGCCAGTGGCCAGGGAAATAAGAACCAGGCTAGCAATTGTGGAATCTTTATCTACTATAAAGTAGCCAGTTCCTTGTCATTCCTCTCAAACATCCTCACCACTTAATTTTCAATATCTGTAAGATCAGGCATTCATTTGAGGTTTAAGATGTCTTTTCTACACAAGTACTCTATAAACAGTACAATTAATATAAAAATTAGATTGACTTCAGCAGTTTGAGGGTACTGCTTTTATTCTATATTGCTAGATAACAGGTTCTCAATTACAGTTGGTGAAAGACACCTATTTTTATCACCATCCTCTTAAATACTACAGAGAGAGGCAAGTCTGAAAGTGAGGAACAATCAGCGATATATACTGAAACTTGAACCAAAATTACAAGTAATTCTAAATTACAGTGAGTGTAATTCTACAGCGGTAACAAAGTTAGTTAGGGATATTTGAGAAGACGAGCATATAGAATAGCCTTCTATATGACATGAGCAAGCACTATTTAAATTCCATTGTAGGGGTCCTCTCTCCCCCTTGACTTGTTGGCCACCAGGTCAAGAGGGGAAAGAGGCAGAAGGCACAACAGAAAGCTTTGTAAGTGGCCCAAGAGCATGGGTGGAGTCAGCCCTCCAGGAGACAGATTTCAGTGAATTGGCTCAACTTTATTTCATAGTATCAGGAATATATAAGATTGGGGAGCCTGGAGACAAACCCTAATTTGCATTAAGTGGCACACTCCTATCATAAGGCTTAGTATGTGGCAGTAGGGTCCTACCACAGAGCTTCTAGAGCAAGTCTTCTTAGCAGGGATCTGTGCCAAGGATCAAGCTAAAGATGAATCGGGCATCTGGTTTAGAGACAGATTTTAGATAAGGTCAGTTATCCAGGCCCAGCGACATTCTCCAGATAAGGGCAGGTAAAGGCAGGAAGTTCTGCTGGAAGGAGGGAGTTCCATGTTGCCGAGTTTATTGAGATAAGCTGCTAGGCCATGGGGAGGCTGTGACCTTTGACCAGCCAGCAATGTCGTCCAACATTCCACCATCAAAAATCATTTAAAAAATAGTTGCCATGGTATCTGAGGAATGCTTACTGATGGATATGGAAATGATCTAGCTAAATATGCCCTTCTGTGCATGAAAAATATACATAAGGAGAAACTGCACAGACCAATTTTATTTCATATGTTTATAAAAACAGGTGGGAGAAAAGGGACAGAAAATGGTCTCCATTTGCTGATAACAATTGTTTCTCTGAGTAACTGTTAACTAAGGACAATGCTAGAAAGATTTCAAAATGCTATACGACTGAGTGGAAAAGTGGTAGACAGCCTTTCTGTGGAAAAAAAAAACCTAAATATTTCCTTTGTAAGTTTTGAAAAAAGATTTACGCCTCTCTCTCTCTCTCTCTCTCTCTCTCTCTCTCTCTCTCTCTCTCTCTCTCTCTCTCTGTGTGTGTGTGTGTGTGTGTGTGTGTGTGTGTGTGTGTGTGTGTGTGTGTGCTGGTACCCATGGATCCTTCATGGCTGGAGTTACAGACAACTGTAACTCCATGCCATATGGGTGCCCAGAACTAAACTAGGATCTTCAGAGCAGCAAGTACTCTTGTCTGCTGAGACATCTCTCCACTCCCATAAAATTTTACTAAAGAAAAAAACTAGGAAAATGATAAACATCATCAAGGACACTACAACCAGGGCTTCTTAAACTTTTTCTATTCATGTCCTCTTTTCACCTGAGAATATTTTACATGGCCCTGGGTACATATAAAAATCAACTACTTACTGATAATAAATCATAAACTTATCTTAAAACAGTTCTTTGATATACATATAATTTACTATTTCTAATACTAAAGATGAAATTAATTTTCATACTAATGATATGGATATGCTTCTTTTAATATAAATCTTGACCAGTTATTTGATACTTAAGGACACAGAGCATCTTCAACATTTTTCAGATCAGTATTTTAATATAATTAATATAGAGAATGCTGTCTCACATAAATATATACACAAAATAGAAAAAGTATTTTTTTTTTTTTTTTGTTTTTTTTTGTTTTTCGAGACAGGGTTTCTCTGTGTAGCTTTGCGCCTTTCCTGGATCTCGCGCTGTAGACCAGGCTGGCCTCGAACTCACAGAGATCCGCCTGCCTCTGCCTCCCGAGTGCTGGGATTAAAGGCGTGCGCCACCACCGCCCGGCTAGAAAAAGTATTTTAAGGCCATTTCAGAAATTGGTGGAAATTCTACTGCTGTGGGGTGGTCTTTCTGAACACTGTGTCGCTCTCATTGGTTGATAAATAAAGCTATTTTGGCCAATAGCCAGGCAGAATAAAGTTAGGTGGTACAATCAAATTGGAGATGAAGAGGGGCAGTCGGAGAGATGCCAGCCTGCTGCCGGAGGAGCAACATGTACTAGAACACAGGTAAAGCCACAGACACATGGTAGAACATAGATTAATAGAAATAGGTTGATTTAAGTTGCAAGAGCTAGTTAGTAATACGCCTGAACAATAGACCAAATAGTTTGTAGTTAATATGAAGCCTCTGGGTGATTATGTTAAAAGTGGCTGTGGGACCAGGGGGGACAGAAAAGTCTCTGGTTACATTCTACCTAATCCAAAGTCAAAATCCTTGTAAATTTTTTTCATATGAAACTCAAGGCAGCAACTCAAATTAACAAAAGGTCTTGTCAGGTCACAAAGCAATATGCCTGCAACTCACAAGAAAGATAAAATGACCTCAGGTTCCACAGGAAAACTCAAAAGGGAAGAAAACTGAGTCATAAGTCACAAGTATAAAGTGGGAAAAAAACAACAGTGCTAACTTTTTTAAATGGATGTTTAACACAGATTTCTAGCTCCAAAGAGATGGTGCCAGAGGCATGATTAAAGACAGGAAGAGCTTCAGTCTGCATATTGTGGCTCTGAGGAAATCAGGGCAGTTTTCAACTACTTTAGCTCACAGAAGTCATGAGAGCCCTTCCTATGGACTTGGAACAGCACAGGGCTGAGGTGGGTAGCCACTGTGGAGACAGGTGGGGCTTCCTTCCCCTAAACTTGGAGACTGGAATTCCCATTCCTTTGTTGCCCATGAAACAGTCAAAAATTGATTCTGTCACCATACTCTTCCACAATTTTCCACCAGAAGGGTACATATCATGTCTTTAGCTCAGGTTCCTTCTAGAGCCTGGCACACTCCTTTCTTCTTCATCTCTTACATGCATACCCCTTCCTGGTGAATTGCCAATGGTCTTTCAAGTCTCTCTGAGAAATGTTTCATAGGTAATAAGTTACTCCAAGAAGTATAGATGTGAACGTCAAAGATGGTAGGTCCTGACTTGTGCTGTTCCCTGGCTTTGTGACTCTAGGCAAGTTACCACACCTTTCTGTGCTTCAAGGATCATATTACCTAGAAAATATTAACAAGTATCTACCCTGTGGGATCCTTATGGGGTTGTGATACTTACTGCAGTACAACTAAGAAATACATATATTTGATCTTCACACCACTCCCTGGCACAAAACTCCTAAAACCCTTGGGATTTCTTAATCAAAGAGTATCCTTTTTTGTTATTTACATGGAGTAGGGTTTAGTGATACCTGAACTTACGTTATCAAGATCACTTTTAGAAGCTGAGAACTGGTTGCCAGAGGAACCAACTATGTGATTAAGAATCAACCTTTGGTTCTAACCCCAACCTCCAAGAAGGGGAGGGAGAATAGAGATTTAGTCAGTCACTGACAGCCAACAATTTAATCAACCTTGTCTGTGTAATGGAACCTCAAACAAACAAAAAGTCCTTAAGGGATGGGACCTAGAGAGCTTTGTGAGATGATGAAGTTCTAAGAGAGTGAGGTAGCCCTCCCTACATGTTTTATTCATCTATTTATTCCATCTGCTTATTCATTAGTTGTGTGGCTT